TTGAAAACTGAACCGTGTCTCTAAAATTAATTAAGAACATAATTAAGATATAAAACAACACATCCTTTATATACCCATCACATAATTCATTTATTGTTACAGGCGCTTATAGTACGAAACATTTATAAATTTTTTACCATCCAACCAGCCCTCACCGACCAGATAGTTATATAACTATGAGATATATTGCCGTTTTTTGTTAAAAGAAAGTATCCCACCAACCACGGGGTACATATGTTTAGATATAATTTCATAAAACTTTAAAAGTATTTTGTATTTTAAAATAATCGTAAAAAAAAAAAAAAAAAAAAAAGTGTCGCCAGTGGTACGAATCGAACCTTGGCTTACTTGTTTAGAAGCTCGGCGCCTTATCCACTTGGCCACACTGGCACATTTTTAAGCAAATACTTTTAAAACAATATAATAATTTTTTTAAAAGAAAAAAAGTTATAGATTCAAATTAAGGAGAGTTTGACACAATGCAATTTTTAAGTGAAAACAAAATATTTCAGTATATTTTAACATTACTCAATTCAAAGTTTACATAAGTTAGATATTTGGTTTGGTCACGTTTTTTTACAAAACAAAGCTGCTGCAACTCTTCCTTGCCATTACTTTGCTTGCAATGGCTGCCAAGGGTACCGTGTCAAATATACTCAAAAGATACTACTATTAAGTTCAGTATTATTAAATATCTTTTTATCTTTATATCTTTATATATATATATATATATATATATATATATATATATATATATATATATATATATATATATATATATATATATATATATATATATATATGTATATATATATATATATATATATATATATATATATATATATATATATATATATATATATGTATATAAAAATGTATATATATATATATATATATATATATATATATATATATATATATATATATATATATATATATATATATATATATATATTACTTTTGTTTTAAGCCAGATAAAACAAATGATAACATTGAAAAATTAGATGGTCTGAAAGAAAATGAATATGTGTCTTTTTCAGTCACATTTACGGCAAGTGAGTTTAAACCATTTATATTCTATTAAAATAATTATTTCATAGTAAACGTTTTGTTTCAATATATTCTATATTTAAATGGGGTACAATCATTTGGTCTAATTAAGAAAATAAATATATAGTATTTTTGAGGAAAAACATGAAATTGAGTAGATGGGGGTGTTAAATAAGTTGTTGATTAATATTTAAAGGCACAATTAAAGTTGCAAAAATTTTTGTCTAGATACCGAAAAAAAAGAAAGAACATATTTACATTTTTTTGGATTATCTAGGCCACAAAACTGTTAAATTGGTTTTCCTTTATAGCATTTCAAGATAATAGTAAGTATAATGTAATCCAAATAGACAGTCCAACTAACTATTAATTTTCCCTGAATCAAATTTTAAATACTATGAAAATCAAAACGCTCTGGCTAGCGTGAGACAAACAGGTTTAATAGAAGTAGCTTCTTTGATAAGTACAAAACGTATAGGCGGAAGTGATTTCCATTTTATTATAGATCATAACAAGATAAAAAGGACTCAAGAAAAATTAGCAAAAAAACTAGACATTCAGTTTCAGGCAAACTTTGAAAAAAATCTAGTTATATACCTTTTTTTTTAATGGGAGAATCAATGAAACAAAAATGTTTATTGAGGTTTAAATGAAGAAATATTCCAACCCTTATTTAAGAGGAAAATTCTCTGTTATAAAAGAACCTGGGAATGCCTATCTTTTTCATTTTGTTCAAAATATGACAGCTAATAAAAAAAGCAGATGTTATTGCAGATCACTTGTTTGATTGGTTTAAAAGTAAGAAACAAATTCAAAATGTAAAAATAAGTAAAATTTAAAAAGTAAGAATCAAATTTATGGCTATTGGAGGAGATAGGACAAATGTGAATACAGGTTAGGCATGTGGTTTCACGCAACGCCTAGAAAAACATTTCGGGTAAAAAAAAATGTTTGATCTAAAAACTGGTAAGTTAGGGTTATGGCATTTAATTGAAAATTTAGATGGCGCAATACTTTCTTATAATAAATTGTCTGGACCACTGAAATTGAAATCAATTCAAACTTAAAATTTAGATCCTCCTTTAATATTTCTCAGTTAGGAGATTACTAAAGATTTAAGCACTGACTAAAGTTATGCTTATCAAATTTGCCGAGCAATATAAACTGGAATTCAGACAGAAGCGCCGCAAAAGATTAACTCTGCTTTTCCGCAAAAAAAAAATGGATGAAAAACGGTTTTATGGATTTTCACACGCAATAGTTCTATAGCAAACGTGTGCAGAATAATTGTTAGTTGGTCAGTTTGTTAACAGAAACGTTTTATTCTGTTAGAAAACATGCAATAAAAAATGTTTCCAATAAATTGAGTTATTTTTAATGGTTCTTCGAATGCACAATATGCATTAGAAGGTAGCTAACAGGTAGTGTTTCCATTTAAAACTTCCCAAACTATAATTAACAACTTTTTTTGTGTGCATTATGGACCTATTTAAGAGAGAAATTCTAAGAACAATTTATTTTCAATTCTATTTAATAATACATTGATAGAGGGTTAAGGAAAAAACTCTTTAACTGAAAGTAAATACTAGTATATTATTAGTTAGCAAATAATAGTATAGCATAGCGAAAAAAGTATAGCTTAGGAAAAAAAATCTCTTCTTACTGATAATATTATTTCTAGCAGTGAAGTAAGTTTGAATTTTTTATCTACACCTTATATTGCTAAAATTCTTTCTACTGCAGCTTCAGATTTAATCACTTAATGTTTCAATGATGAAAGTAATGAAGTCTATATACCTGAACACAATTTCATACTGCAACTTAATGCTAATATTGAAATATTGTTAAATAATTTAAAATTTTTTTTATTTGGACCTGATAACAAACGAGTTCTGAACTTGCCCTCAGATCAGTAAGAGATGTGCAGAGATATTTTGAATTAGTTAGTACTGTACATTTTAATAATGCTTCTAAATTTTTCACTATTAATTTACTTGACATCTATATTCCAAAACCTGAATCGAAACTTTTGAGACCTAATTCAATAAAAAAAAACTTGTTTTATTTGTTAGGTTATTATCAGAAAAAGAAACTTTAAATATATGTCAATCTAATAAACCAGATTTGTGTAACAAACTATGTAATAAACCAGATTTAATGACATATAATTTTATATATGAATAGAAACTAATATATATATATTTTAAATATATATTGAACTATATAAATTTTATATATAAATTTAAATACAACTAATATATAAATTTTAAACATGAATAAAAGCATATAATCGAGAAAACAAAAAGCAGCATTTCATCATCAAGAAACGTACTACTAATAAATTATTAAACCATCCCAGATTCCATCTACTTTGCTTAAGATGCTTTCAGCAATGCTAAAGATGCTTTTGAACAATGCTTAAGATGCTTGAAGCTTTTTATTTATCTTGATTTTAAAAGACCTGTAATTCTGACAGAGAACGTTATCGTGAGAGACCATTAAAAACTTGCAATTTCACTTGACACAACTGATCGCTCTAATGTCTGTACCAATATCACAGTGGATTTTTTGAGGTCTGAAAAGAATGCAGATGAAATATTTTTAATTCTTGCTGCTAATCATAAAAATATTTAGCACCTATAGTCATATGTATCTTGTTCTCCAACCAGAAAAGTTCCAATGGTTAGATATTTTAAAAAATAAAATTTGTCCACAGATAAGTACCACAAATATAATTTTGTATTTTTATCGCATTTTTTATCACATTCAGCACATCGCATGAAGTCTGCTTAGTTATTTGCTTGGTTCATTGGGGAAAAATGCTGTGATTTATCAAAAAGGGGGAGGGGAGTTATAAAAAGTAAAAATAAAAAAGAGGGGTAAAAATTTTCCGAAAAAAATAAAAAATAAGAAAGAAACTTGGGTAAGAGGGTTAAGGGGGTTAGGGTTTAGGGGGGCTAGGTAGGTGTCAGGGTAGGAGGCAGGGGGTAGGGTGGAAAAATATAAAAACATAAATCAAGTGATAAGCAGGTAGCTTAAAAAATCAATGTTATTGGGTGTAATCAGTGTGTGTGAAAATAGGCGTTATCAGGTGTCAATAGGTGTTAAGGAGGTAAGCGGAATGTGTTAAAAAGTATATATAAAAAGCGTTATAATATGTTAAATAAATAAAGTAAAAAAAAAATAAAATTTTTATTTATTTCACGTGTGTTTTTAAATTTTTTTTAAAAAAATGGTTCGAGACAAAAAATCTGTGCGTCATTCTGTACAATATATAAAAGAACAAGAGGAAAACAAAAGATACTTTGTCGATTTCTTTTGTCGTATAAAACAACCTAGCGCCAACCTAGCTCAACAAAATAACTCGGACGTGGACTTTGTTGTGGAAAGAGGTAGCGATTCACCTAATACTCGATCAGGGTTAATGTGCAAAAGAAAAACAAAACAAAAATATAAAGATAACAAACAAAATAGAAAGAGTGGACGAGTTGGAAAGAGTGTATATAAATGGGTATTGACAAAGAAAAGTTTAAGGTATATTATATGTTTAGTTACTGAAAATAATTTTAAATAAGTTAACAATAAAAAAATTGATTATTAAATTGCATTATGGCGCGTACAAAAAAATATCACGTACAAAAAAAATATCAAAAAGTGAGTTAAAAGAATTAAACAGAATATACCATCGGCACGGTGGAAAAATTGCAAATCAATGGCGTCAATTAGGTCGACAGCCTCAAGTTGTAGTAAACAAAATGGATAGTAAAGAAATTGCAAATCGAACAGTAAAAAAGCTGGATTGCAAAACGGTTTGGTACAAAAAACGCGCAACAAAACAAAAATATAAAAATACAAAAAATAATATTAAAAACGGCGTGGTAGGAGATATAGTACATAAATGGGTATTAACAAAAAGGTAAAAAAAAAATAAAAAAAGTTGTTATTATGGTATTGTTTTTTTAATAAAAAAGAATTTTTTATAACTAATAATTTTACAAAATAATAATATTTACAAAACAAAAACATCGAAATAATGTTCTAATATTTTAGTTTCTATTATTGCTTTTTTTTGATCGGTTGGCAGGAGTTCAAAATATTTTAAAAAAGTGTTTTCTAGTCTGTTCACAATATATTTGAAGATATCGATTTGCGAATCATCAGGGTCTAATTTTTGTAATTTCAAATCGTAATCTAATAGTGACTGCAACATCCCCATTGTCATGCGAACTAAATCGTTTGTGAAATCGATTTTATTGAAATCCATTTTTTTATTTATCTAAAAAAAAATTATATTATTTTTATTTTATACATTTAGATGAAAAAAAGACAAAAAAGAAATACGCATTACAAAAAAACCAAGCGAAAAACTTGAAAAACTGTCAAACGAGGAAAAGGATTGGCTTCGTTAATAACAGTGGACAATGCAAAAATGATTGGAAAATTTGCAATTCAAAATGCTGACGTTTTAGGCACTTTAGCTAATTCGCTTTATAATAAAATTAAAGGAAAAAAGAAAGAAACGCCTGTAAAAACGCAAGAAACGCTAATAAAAACGTTGCCTACTGATCTTTCACAAATGACATACGAAGAAAGACAAGCTTATTATAAAAATTTGTAACAAAAAAATTTTTTTTATAAATAATAAAAAAAGCATACAAATTATTTAAAATTTAAATCGTCATCTTACAATTCTTCTTGTTTGCTCGAGTCTTCTGATATTCTTTCTTGTTTAATACAAAATGGTTCATGCATCGGATCGTTATTATCGCAAAATGGTTTTTTTTTAATTTTGTTTTTAATTTCATCGAATATTTCCATGTTTTTTTCGTAATTGACTCTTTTTTTTCTTTCATGTGCCCATGACGCTTTTCTTAGTTGTTGTTGATATCTTTTTTTAAAGACTCTGATTTGAATTTGGTTATTTTTAAGTTTGGTCAAAAGTTTATTAATTTGTAATAGTGGGCTTGTGTTTTCAGAAAGTCGACTAATTATATTATCTGGATTTCGTTCAGTACTAAAAAGAAAATAAAAAAAAAAAAAAAACTATACAAGTAAATAATTTGTTTTTATGGTAAATAAAAAAAGCACTTACGTAATGACATAGTAAGATTCGAGATCGCAACGAAAATTAATCAAAAGGTTGGTAGCTTCTTCTTGATTTATAAAGTTTTTTTAAAAGTTTTTAAACGTCCTTTTACAACGTCAGTCATATTTTTAAAAAAAAATAAGACTGACGTTGTAAAAGATTGAAAAAAAAATTGCTGGCCTAGGCTATCGTGTAGAATCTGTAGAAACCATTTTAAAAAATATGATAATTTGTTTTATGGTAAATAAAAAAAAAGCACTTACGTAATGACATAGTAAGATTCAAGATCGCAACGAAAATTAATCAAAAGGTTGGTAGCTTCTTCTTGAATTGTTTTTGCTAATTTAATTTGTATTTTTAATAATTTTTCCTTATCTGTTTCTAAATTTGATAAATTTTCTTTTTTCGTTTCTGCGTCCATATTTTATTCTTTTCTTTTTAAAAAAAATTATAATAAACTTTTTTTTTATAAGCTTTGATTAAAAAACTGGATTTTCTAGTTATTAAATAAATAAAACAGTTTTATAACATCGTGGGAAGGTTTTAAAAAAATCATATGATAATAAAGTTTCTTTAAAGAAAGCGCAATTTGATGTAATATTACACTTAAAAATATTTTTATATTTTTTTCGTAAATAGTTTTTATTTGCTAGATTAATAGCGCTTCATCATAAGATGTTATTTGAGTGTGTTTTTTTATTTGCATAACCTTTAATACGTTTTGAGGATGAAGCAAAAAAAAATATCATATGATGTTTTTTCAAGTCAGAATATTTGCGTAACCTTTAATACGTTTTTGAAGGTGAAGCAAAAAAAACATCATATGATGTTTTTTTTTTCATCATATGATGTTTTTTTTTTCAAGTCAGTTTTTTATTTGCATGCTTTGTTTTTAGTGTAAATAAATTAAGGGTATAAAAAGACGAGCTTTTTTATTAAAAAACCAGAGTAATGGCAACGCTTGGTAATAACAATATTGAATTAAAAGGTGTAGTTTATAAACTAGTGAAACATTTGTCGTATTGTTGGAAAGAATTTGCAGATTTCTTAATGTTACCTGTAAACACAAAGTATAACATAAGGAAAACACATTACAATGATGAAGCGAAAATGTATGCTCTGTTAAAACATTATTTATTGCAGATGCGATATTCTAGCGCAAATGAACAACTAAAATGTTTACATAATCGATTTGTTAAATGGAAAAATGATGTTTTTCACACGATGCAAATACTACAAGATGCTTATAATAGCGACCGAACTTCAGCCTGCGAGAAATCTTCAAACAGAGTTAGAATTTTAAATTTAAAACGCAAACATCGACTTATGCAAAAATGCCTTGGATATTTTAAAGACTGATAAAATGAATTGTAAGTGAAAAAACTTTTTTAGTCTATAAACAAAATTTGCAGATTTTTTAAATGTTCTTTTTCAATAACTTTTTTAATGTTTGAACAACAAATCCATTCATAAATGTCTTTAATAAAAAAAGATCTAGAGTTCTCCAATCTACTCCAATACTTTTACTAAGCTCTATGGTATATTATGGTATATACTGATCAAAACAATTTATAAGAGCCAAAATAAATCTTATAAATAAAAATTTATAGTAGTTTATATCATTTTCAGATAAATGTTTGTTATCAACTTTAGTTTTTTTCAATTGTTTAACCGTCACTATGGTATATTGTGGTATATTTCAAAAGAAACTATCGCTAACTAATATGGTCACTTGTATTGCAATCTAACCATTTTTTACTGATGTCATTATATTGCGCTATTAGACGAACAGTAATGATAAAATAAGAATCATTTTTCAAATCTTCATCCAAACAACTGATAAATACCAGGTGGCAAATTGTTAATTTTAAAATTACTAAATGTTCTTATTTCACTATTAGACGATTTGCGATTTGTTTGTGATTTAATGTAGGTAGGAAAATTATGAAGCATACTTTTACAAGATAAACGACAAACATGTGTAAAATTTAAATAAAGAATTACAATAAAGATTTTTATTAATTGATTTGCCTTTATTGATAAAGGAATTTTGAATTTTCAAAAGAAACTATCGCTATCGCTATCTATTATCGTTTTTTATTGCTATTAACTTTCTTAAATTAAGTTCTCATTTAATTTGCATCACATTATCGCGGAGAAATCTGTGTTTTGATAAAGAACAATAACGACCGTGAGTTTGTAATTAAAACAGATTTAGCTATAGCTCAGTGAAGTAAAAAATACAATAATGATGTTTATTACAAGAAAATTTTTATTTCTGATTTTTATTTATCTCTTTGTAGTTTTACTAGAAAACTCGATAGTTTGTATTTTTTTCTTATAAAAAGAACTGTCATCATATTGCGCTATTAGACGAACAGTAATAATAAAATAAGAATCATTTTTCAAATCTTATATAGTCACTTAGATCATCTCCTTTTTTTTTTGCTAACTTTTTGGAATGGACTTCTGTAATAAATGACGTCTACACAAGCTTTTGGCATAGAAATAATCAGCAGATCTTAACCACATTATTGCGATTTTTAAGAAAATTCGGATGAAAGCGTCAATGAACTAATTGTTTCTGATCAAAATGTTTAAATATTTAGTTGTTTTGTGTCAGTGCTCATGTTTTATCGCTCAGAAGTGGACAGATATAAAAAGACTTAAAGTCTTGTCGTCTTGTAAAAATCAATATTTAAATATCCAGTGCATTATGTTTGATTAATGGAAATTTAAAAAAAAAAAGTGTGGAATTTAAAAAAAGAGTTCAGTGAAGAAAAAAATACAATAATGATGTTTATTACAAGAAAATTTTTATTTCTGAACATTTTTTTATGCAAGCTCGTTGAGAATAACATTTTCTTTGCATCTCTACAAACAGTTTTCACTCCTAGTACTTCCTCAATTTCTTATAAAAATGTCTTTCTTTTTTTTTTTTAATTAAAAAATGTTTTTTAAAAAATTTATATTTTTCTTAATCTTATTCGTTAAATGATGGACTTATTTATTCAAGTTGGAAATGACTTTTTTTTAAAAACTAACAATGACTATAACTATAATTTTTTTACGACTATTAACGCTATTTTTTGCTCATTAACACTATTTTTTCGCTTTTAAAAAGCTAACAATATCGTTACGACCTATTTGTTCAAATATGACTAAAAACTAACAATGACTATAACTATAATTTTTTTAATCTTATTCGTTAAATAATGGACTTATTCAATTAGGAAATGATTTATTAAACTAACAATGAGTGATATATAATATAACTCTTATTTATATAACTCTAATTTTTAATGCTTTTATTGAATGTTGCATTAAACATAAATAATAATATTTTCTCTTTATATTAACTTTAAGTTTTTTAACTTTAAGTTTTTTTTTTAATAGCTAGGTATGATTAAAGGAAGAGATAAAACTTGTTTTATTGAAAAATGTATTTAAATATTACATATCTTTACATATAATTAAACAAAATCTACACAAATTTCTTTTCTTTTCCAGCACCTTTTTGAAATAGAGCGTAATTTCGAAAGTCAATCAATGTTCTATTAACCAAGGTTTCTTTTGGTCCATTGAATATAATAGAAATATATAGAAAATATAATATAATATTAAAATTGAATATAATATTAAATATATAGAAAATAGTTATAAATTATAATTTTTTTAAACTTCTTCATCTACTTGTTAAATTCCAAGAATCGACTGTTCGAACACTTGACGTCATTCACCTTCTTTTAGATCAGGTGTGGGCTTTAGATTATTGCCAACAACATTTTTAAATTTAATTAATACACAAAGTCTCGTACAACTTGTTTAGACTCTTCTAGTAACCTTTTTTTAACATGTTTCCCTGATTTTGATTGCAATGGTGTTCCAGTAGTTAAAGATTTATTAAACTTATGAAAGTAAAACACTCTATGGCTGCTAATATTCAATGTTGAAAGATAATATGATTTACAAACTCTATATTGTGTATTAGAAACAAAAAAGCTATAATATCCTTGTTAATTTTTTATAATCGATTGTTCGAGCACTTGTTTTTTCTGTTCTTTCTGTTCTGCTAAAAAAAACCGTTTCTTTTTGAGTTATACAACATTTCCAGAATCGCGAGAGATCAATTTTTTTGTATGGATTTTTAAAAAAAAGTTTAACGTAAAGATTTTTGTCAATACGAATACATTCAGCAACATGAGGTATGTGAAGTTCATTTTGAATAATTTTATGACAAGTACTTTTTTTATTAAAAGGTGTTCAAATAAAAACAAGTTTAGATTATTTAAAAATAGAGTCAGGAAATCTTAGGCATCATTATCGTAAATTGCTTATAAAAAATCGAAAAAATAAATAATACAATAGTTGATTAAGTCATCATTGATCGAAATCCATATTAGCGGATGTTCTCTTAATTCGGTCAGAAGAATGCCTACTTACTCTCCTAATAACTTGGATGATTATTGGTGAAAATAGACGCATTATTTTTTTACAGAATTTCTATTATTAAATAAAAAAAATGAATAGATTAACTCAAAATGACAGTCTTAAATCAAAAAAAATCTTAAACCTAGAAAAATTTTATGGACATCGAAACGTTATTCGGATGAAAACCTTGATGATCTAATTGTTTATGATCGTGTGTTTATCGAAAACAAAACAAGAGAATAATTAAATAAATTTGCCATTTTTTCAAGTTTTACTTTATCGTGCAAATATCAAAATGAAGTTTACTAAATATCAAAAATGAAGTTTACGCAAATATCAAAATGAAGTACTTTTTTTATTAAGTGACTATATATTAAATAGCGATTGTAATCGTGTTCATGGATCGAGATTAAATAGATTTGAAAAAAAGTAAATTGCTTATAATATAAAAAATGGAAAAAAATAAATAAATACATTAGTTAATTAAGCCTTCATTGATCGAAATCCATATGGTCAATAACGATTTCGAAATACAACAAATACAACGATAAACGACTAAACGCAACTCTATATTATTTAACAAAAAATGAATAGAGTAACTCGAGATGATTGGTTAGTAGTCGGTGAACATTTGACTAAAGACAACGTCAAGAAATTGTTATATATGTTACGAGTACCACTTGGAAAAAAAGAAACTATTCAAGATGGTTTTGAATTTATAAATTATGTTATTGAAAATAGTGATTTGAAAATGGTGATTTCAATATTTGAACAAATAGGTCGTAACGACATTGTGAGCTTTTTAAAAGCGAAAAGTAGTGTTAATGAACAAAAATTAGGAACTGAAAGTGATGATTATTTTTTTCCGCAGTCAATAACAGACTATACATATTAATTGTACATATTATACATATTATACATATTAACTATATTTTTTTCTTTTTGAATTGCTTACTTTATTGATTCGAGATTTTTTTTTATTTTTAAAAAATTGTATTTATTTTATTTCTTTAAAAAAAATATGTTATGAAAAATAATGGTTTTTTCTTATAACTCATTTAAATAGTATGTTTGTTTGTTTTTTTATTTTTCATTTGATTAAGTTAAGATTATCTTTTTTTATTTTTTTTTAAAAATTATCTTTTTTTTTTTTTTTTATATTGTTTTTTGAAAAAAAAAACTTTTTTATTTTTTTAAAAAATTTTAAAAAATAGATAAAAAACATTTTTATTACATTAAAAAACTATTTGGTATAATTTTTTGCATTTTTATTTACATTAAAAAAACTATTTGTTATAATTTTTTGCATTAAAAATATGAATAAAAAATGTTTTTTTTTATTATATTGCGATACTTACATTTTTTAGCGATAGTAAAAAAATAATGGGTTTTTTAAAGTTGATCGTTGCTCATTTAATCAAGTATCCTGAGCGTTTGTTTTTGAAATTTTCAAAAAACAAATTTGAACCTCAAAATATGTTCGAGTTACTTTTGACATTGAATGAATTGCAAGAAATCATAGTGATTTTAGAAGATCATTTTTTAAAAAATGTTTATCAAGGCGTTAAAAGAAAAAGAAATTCTGGACAAAGTTTGGTAGTTTATCGAAAAAATCTGAAATTATTTGATTCGTGGAGAGGTAAATAACAGTTTGTCCTTTTTTTTTCAGATCACAACGTAATGTTTATTTATAATTTATTATATTATATAATATTTTTTTCAGATCACAATGTAATGATCGACAACAAATGGAGAGAGGTTTATCAGGTTGTGTGTAGAGAATATGATAATTACAAAATGGATATGGAAACAATGACAGAAGATGAATTTTTAGAACGCATCGAGTTTTGTCTTAAATTACGTTACAATATGAATGATGATGAATATTTTTTGTATAATTCTGTTTATAATTTTATTTCGAAATTAATTAAACCGTACACAAAATGGGATTGTCACATGGATCAGTTGATTGATTTTTTTATTTCTGAAGATGCAATCGATATTTTTGCTACTAGATTCAACAAGGTTCCTCTTGTTATTAAATTACTTAATGTGCACTATTTGGCCTTGATTCTTGAATGTTGGAAAAAATCACCGAGCATGAAAAATCATTTTGATGAATATGATTTTTGGACGTCTGATCAAATTGAGCGTTATGAAAATCAGACGTTTAATGATATTCAAGTGGATCGACATCAGATGCAAGCATTTATGACGTATTTTAAGCTAACAATGCGATAGGTTCGTTGTATGAGGAAGATGACAAAGATGATTTCTGGGAAAAAGTCAAAAATCATTACTTTTTTGGACGCCTTATTGTTTAATGATTTTTTTGTTAAATTTTTTTTGTGAATAAAAAAAGTTATTATTGCAATTTTTTTCTTTTTCTTTAAAAATAAGATATTAAAAAACATTAAAAAACTTATATATTTTTTAAGAATGATATATTTTTAAGAATGATATGTTCTAAAAAAAATTTTTTAAATTTTTTTTTCTTTTTAAAAAAACAGGTTCATAAGAAAAAATGTTTGATTTTGTAATGGATATTGAAGCTATTGATTGCGGAGTTAAGCATGAATGGGGAGACTTTTGCATTCGTGAAATAAGCATTGTGAATCGACATTTGACTTGTATTAATTATCATTATCAAGTATGTAAAACAAAAGAACAAATGAAAGAATTTTATCAACAAAGAGCTGAATATGTCAAACGTTATATCAATAACCTTGACATTTTTGTATTTAGTATTTACCGTTGTGATGACGTTAAAGAGTTGCTGAAAGTACTTTGCAAGGAAAAGAGTGTTATTTATCATAAAGGCGCTATGGAAAAAAACTTAATCGCGTATATTGGTTGCGTTTCGTTTGACATTAACAGTTTGCATACGATTCCGTCAGTGAATAAGGACATCGAATACTTATCTATTAATAAAAAGTTTGGTTGCGGACATCACGGAAATAACTTAAAAATGCATTGCCCTAATTCCGAATGTTATTTTTTTATTAAGAAACTAATTGACACTGGTTACTTTAATGACATTAATTTAAAAAGAAGATATAATTTGTTATAATTAATTTTATTTTTTTAAGAAGAAATATTTTGTATTCATAAATTAATAAAAAATTAAAACTATGAAAAATAATTTATTTTTTAATTTCATTCGCTTTTTTTTTTTTTTTTTCAGGTATAATTTTTTTATTTTTTTTAGTTTTTTTAGAAAAATGAATGAATTAAATTGTACAGCAGCTAACGTCCGTTGGGTAACACGCATGAAAAATGAAGATGTCGATGAAAATAGTACAGCATCTACATCTAAAGTCCGTTGGCAAACGTGGCGAACGCGCATGAAAAAAGATGATTTTAAAGAAATCTGCACAGTAGTTAAAGCCCGTTGGGAAACGCGAATGAAAAAAGAAGATGGTAATGAAAAAAAAACACTATCTTATGAAAACCGTTATATAAATCCAAATAGCGTATTTTATGATAATAACGACATAGTGGATAAAGTATATGACTATAACAATGATTTTTCTGATTGGGAGTCGGAAGACGAAACTTTTAATAAAATTTTTAAAGTATGTAAATAATAACATTTTTCAAAATATGTAAATAATAAAAAAAACTATGTATATATAAATTTTCTTTTGTTTATTAAATAATCTTTTTTTTACAGTTCATATTTTTGTAGCATTTTTTTCAATTCGCTAAGTTCGTTGCGTTGTTCAACTGGAATTGAATAAAATTGAGCAATGTTTTTTAGTTTTTGATAGTTGTTATAGGTGTGTCTTTGTTGATCATCGTCCAAATAAGTTTGCATAAGGTTTGATTTTAAAATGGCAGACAAATTTTTCAAGTCGTCGTTTGTTAAAAACGGTGTAGCTGAATCCTTTACTAACAACAAGTTGTTTTGCGATAAAAAAGCAGTCAACGTATTGTTTTTTTTAATATCATTTTTGTAAACGTCTTTGTTTATGCCTATATTGATTAAGAATACTGTCTATGGTATCAATTTCGATATCGCTAGAATTAAACCATTGCTGCCTTAGTAAATGGAGAAAATAGAGGATCCATGGTCCGCAAAGCGACGAATCGCCAAGTCGATATGCCAAATCAATAAAAACAATGTTCACGTTTTGAATGTCGTGTTTTTGCGAATAATAAAAACAAAACTTTGTAAACCATTCGTCTTGCGTGTCGCGAAGCGGAAAATGTTTTTTACGTCTAGTATAAAGATGGTCGTTAAAGTTAAGAGTCATTTGACTTAGCGCAGTCGATAGCGAGTTTGTTTCGGCATATTCCAAGAGGTCAGGATTGTTTTGAACTGCAATCGGAATTTGTTGAAAAAAACTTTCCTTACCTAAACTGTCAAAGCAAAACAAGCTATTATTGTTTAATTTGAGCATCATGCGCCAATGCGCTCCATTTTTTTAAGACGAGTCACTGTTGTAGATAAAAAAATCACCGACTTGAAAATTCTGTTTAAATACGTTGTTGACTTGGTCAAAGGGAAAAACACCTTTAAAATTTTTAAAGTTCTTTTTGCAATATTTTTTTAAACTAAGATCAGTGGTCATCTTTTTTTTCTGCGAGATTGTTAATTAGTAGACTGTATACGGCATTGACAATTTTTTTATAAAACAAAACAGTGTTTTTTATTTTTATTTCACCAGACAAGAGTCGCTTTGTAAACCCGTTTGAAATCATCACTTCAAGAGCTTTGAAAATTTTTTTTTATAACAGGCATAGAGATGGTAATAATGTCAGCGATACCGTCAACATTGTCTTCATTTTGTAACTCTTCTAATGAAAATCCATTTGATAGACTAAGCATTGATGTCAACCCTGCCCCGTAGGTGTTGTTTAAAAATTTCAATTCTTTTTTCATGTCGAGTGTATTTTCATTTTGGTATATTGTTGTCTGATTAAATTTTAATTGATGTCTGTCGCACATGCTTTCTTTTGAAATATCAAGACTATTGATTTCATGACTCACTTCGTACCAAAACGTTTTCTTTTTGAGTTCTTTTGGTTCGGCTTTAATTAGTCGTTGTAAAACGTGCATCTTTGCATCATTTTTTATTTTTAATTCGAAATTTTCGATATTGCGTGTTTTCCATAGTTCTAAAATCAAGCAGAAGTTACAAGTTGTTTTTGTCATTTTGTTTTCTTCCATTTTTTCAATAACTTCTTTTTTTTTCAAATAAATTTCTTAATAAATTTTTTGAAAAAAACCTTAACGTTGCTTTCACTTAATGTCACAAGCATAAATGCAAAGAGACAAGACAAAAAATTAAATTCAAAAAAGAATGGATTAAACATGTAAATACTAATGTTTCATTTATAAAAAAGAGCTGTTTTTTCGAATAGCAGAATGCATTTTTTTAAAAAAAATGCATAAAAAAAACAAACGAAAAAAAGTAAAAAAACATGGACTAGGCCCGATAGAGCAAAATGATACTTGCAAAAAGTTAAATTATCGCATGTTTAATATATCAACTTTTTTTTCTAATAGAAATAAAGTAAGACATTTTTTATAAAAAGTTTTTATTAAAAAAAAAAAGCGGTTAATAAAAAAGATATTTTTTTTTTATAAAAAAAAAAAGATTTTTAATAAAAAAATGACTCAACAAATTAACAATTTGCAAACGCGATTTTTAAAAGTCATCGAAGCTGAATTTGTGAAAAAAGATGAACAAGAACGTCTTTTTGGGATATTGCATACAACTTGGCAAAATAATGTAACAGCAAGACTTTTAGCTATTAATAACGCTCTTATCGGAGAAGGACTTGTTGGTAATTTTGTAGATCTGAATTTGGCTATTAACACTTATCAAAACGCTTTGGGCGCAGGCGCAGATGCAACTCTTATTGCTCCTCTTCCTGAACCAATCAACACATATGTTGTGCCTGAAGTTATTCAAATCATTCGAGACTATGCTCTAATGAGTTCTTCCTTGTCAGTTTGTGGACTCGCTGCGTCAATGATGACAAACGCTTAATCAAAGTTTTTTATAAAAAAATGTAATTTATATAAATATAAAAAAAAAATATTGTTAGCATTTATTTTTTTTTAGAAAAAAAATAAAAACGTATTAAAGTTTTTTTTTTTATTATTATATAAAAAAATACAATATCGTTTTTTACATGGCTTTTTTTATTGCACTTTGTACTGCTAATCCGGTTGCTCCTCCTACTGCTCCAAGTGCAGCGGCTTTTCCAACAGCTAGAGCTGTAGGACCTGCAATAGCTGCTGCAGCAGCACCTTTAGCTCCAAAAGCAGCAATAATCGGTGCCAACAGGAGCGGAAAAAAACCACCGCGTTGTTTTTTCCATTTTTTTCGTTTTATTTTTCGTCCGTTTCCTACTTGTTTTGGTACTCGAATGACCATAGAAGGTAATAAAACTCGGTTTCCTCCTCGTTTGCGAGCCATTTTTTTTTTCTTTTTTATAACGAATTTTGATAATTGACTAATCTCTGAACACCTTCTTTGCCAATGCTCGATTTGAGACCTGCGTTTATGATTCTTTTTGCAAAACGTTTGACGGCTTCAAATTTAGGTCCTTTTCCTCGATGCTTTTTTGATTTTTTTGTTTTAACAAATCTGCCTCGTCTATCGCGTCGTTTCATGTCAGATCATGCACGTAAAAAAATATTATTTGAAATAAGAAAAAACACATAATGAGCTTCGCTATAAAAATACTTTGCAATTATTTTTTCAGTATTTCAGCGACAGTTAAATAAATTAAAAGCGACTGTCCTGTTTTTTAAAAACGAATGATTTAAGTGTTGCTTAGTGATTTAGGCATCAAGGCTAGATTTTCATTAAATCTTTTTCCGGTCATCACAAATTGACTTTTGTGAAGCATATCAATGCGTACAACTGCATTATTTATAGATGTAGTAAATTTAAGAGTCATCGACGCATTAGATGAACCTAACACGTTAGGTGAGTCCATATCTGTAACTCAGTTTTTATCTGCAGTAAGATCAAAAGCTAGTACCTCGTTATAAGAATTGAGCCAATAGTCATTTTCAGTTGCCGCAAATTCGCCTACATAATCTGTAGAATAACGTAATATTTGATTTCGCATATCGTTTTCAGAATTTTTGCCGTCATTAATAAATGATAAATATTCTCGATAAAGTTGCTTTCTTGTTTTAGGTAACGATAAGTCGTAAGTAAAAGTACTACCCCCTCCTTGTAGAAAGTTGATACGCACGTTGTTAAATGTGACCGATGCTATTAATTCTTGAGCCATATTTCTAGGTGCTCTACATCTAAAGTTGCTGTGTTCGGCTTGATCTTTACAAAACAGAGACACGCATACTGCATGCGGAGTCAAGCTATCTTGTTTAAAAGTATTAAATG